GCGCCTCTCCCACGCTCAGTCCGCCACCGTCTCCCTCTCGACTGGTGCTCGCGATGCCGGCTTCTCCGGTCGCCTGGTCGCCGCCATCAACGACGCCCTGACCGGCGCCGGTGGCCTTCCCCTCCTGGAGCAGGAGATCCTGGCCGCCAAGGCCCTCGTTCGCTTTGTCCTCGAGTCCGGCATTCAGGCCGACAAGCTGGCCGACTCGGTCCTCCTGGTTTTCGACGGTCTTCGCGATGTTGCCCACGAGGCGTCCGACCGTTCTGGCGACCTCGGCCGCCAGGCTGCCGCCACCCTCGGCGCTGCCATCCAGGATGTGCGTTGTCCCCCCCCCCCCCCCGCCCTCCTCCCGCCCTGATGAGCGCCCGGTCGCATGCCGCATCTTTGTTGCCCCCTTCCCACCTGGGACATCCACTCACCCGCTCATTCGCCCTCATGCCCTCCCCTCGACGCCCCCGCAGCTTGTTGCCACCTCCGCCGCCGGCGACTCCACCCTCTTCACCATGATGTCCCTGCCCTTCCGTAACATGCCCCTGTCCCTGCGCGTGCGCTCCGAGGAGACCATCCCTCGCCACGTGGCCCCCTACACCTGCTTCGACACCGAGGCCACTTGCCTGGCTTCCACCAACAACTGCTCTGGCCTGGCTGGCTGCCATATCCACAAGAAGGACGCCACTCGCGAGTGCTGGCGCTGCAACTGCGGCCCCTCCCACTCCGGGGACTCCTGCGAGTTCGTCGATGTGACCGTCTCCTTCGCCCTGGTGGCCACCGTTGTCGGCATCACCGTCGTTGCCCTGGTGGCCATCATCGTCACCATGCTCGGCATGGACTCCGGCGATGACTCCATCATCCACCGCACCGCCTCCCACGCCAAGCACGCCTAAGTAGCACCCCTCCCCCCGCCCCCCGCGCCCCTTCCCGCGCTCTCCACGCATGCCTACGCGTGTGTGTGTGTGTGTGTGTGTGTGTATACACATACAGCCACACCCATGCATGCCCTCCGGCGCGCATCTGTTTGTGAGGATGCAGGTCAGGTTGCCTCTCTCCCCC